ATTACGAATTGAAATAAAAAGATAAAGTTGCAATGTATCTACAATCGCTTTTAAATTAGGAATGATAACAATATTTTTCGGTATTTTTCTAAATCCATACATGATTGAATTAAACACTATCGTTAAGTAAATTAATGCAAAAAATAATACGGTGTACGTTTTTATTACAAAAGAAAATATAGAGTTAAGCAAGAATAATTTCTTTGTAAGTAGGCTAGAAAATAATATTCACGAAGAAAATTGTGAATTATTACTTACTTAAAACAAACATACTACGAAATTTTTTTTATGAGTTAACGTTAAAAAATCTTATTTAGCATTTAACGATAAAGTAAAAATTTAATTTTTTTTAGATTTCCTTCCCTTTCTGTTAACAAGCAAATGCTTCTTTTTAAAGTTATGTTTTACAAGGTATTGTGATGTGAGTTAACCATTTGAAATATTGCTTGTTCGATATATTACTTCTATTTTATGATCGTTCGCAAAATTATGAGGTCACGTGGGTTTAAGAATTAAACCAAATGATCGACGAATTGCACTACGTTGCGTTGTTTGCAATGCAAATTTAATTTATGTCGATTTATGTCGATTACAATAAAAAAAAATTCCATTTTTTTTTTAATTTTTAACGATGTCTAATAACAAAAAGAAAATTGGTAAGCAAGAAGTTTAGCATATTTAAAACAAGCTTATCTGATAATGATATAAAAATAAAACTTTATACTTAAATAAATTTATATTTAAACAAACATATGCTAAAGCGAGTAAGTTATTATTTTTAATAATACTTTTTATTCTCAACTAAATTCTTTATTAAAAAAAAAAATAATTAATAATTAATAATATAATAGTTGGTAAGTTATTTGTATTGATTATCTGTATTTTAATTTAGCTTATATTGATTATTAATATTTATTTATACTTTTTAATGTATTAAATTTTAGGTCGTAAGTTATTTTTATTAATTATTAGTATTTAATTATAATTTTAACTGTAATTTAAATACAACTAATCTTTTATTTAAAATAATTATTAAAATTTTAGCTCGTAAGTTATTTTATTGATTATTAGTATTTTTATTGCAATTTAACTCAATTAAATTTTATTTAAAAATCAAAAATACTACTAAAGGAAGTAAGTTTTTTTATTAATTATCAGTATTTAATTATACTTTTATTATAATTTAAACTCAACTAAATAATTTGATTAAAAAAATATTTAAAAATTAATAATATAATAGTTGGTAAGTTATTTGTATTAATTATCAATATGTTAATTTAGCTTGTATTGATTATTAATATTTATTTATACTTTTTATTGTATTAAATTTTAGGTCGTAAGTTATTTTTATAAATTATTAGTATTTAATTATAACTTTAACTGTAATTTAAATACAACTAATCTTTTATTTAAAATAATTATTAAAATTTTAGCTCGTAAGTTATTTTTATTGATTATTAGTATTTATTATAATTTTTATTGTAATTTAACTCAATTATATTTTATTTAAAAATCAAAAATACTACTAAAGGGAGTAAGTTTTTTTATTAATTATCAGTATTTAATTATACTTTTTATTATAACTCAACTAAATTATTTACTTAAAAAATAATTAAAATATTAGCTTGTAAGTTAATTTATTGATTATCAGTATTAAACTTTTATTATAATATATATTCAACTAATATTTTATTTAAAAAAACAATTAAAAATTTTTAGCTAGTTAATTATTTTATTGATTATATTAATTATTCTTTTTATTATAATATAAATTTAACTAATTTTTTATTAAAAAAATAATTAAAATATTAGCTCGTAAGTTATTTTTATTAATTATTAGTATTTAATTATACTTTTTCTATATATTAATTTAATCTTAACTAAATTATTTATTTAAAAAATAATTTATCTTTTAGTTGGTATGTTAATATTATTGTATATAATTATTTAATTATACTTTTATTATAATTTAATTTAATTAATTTTATATTAATAATATAATTAATATTTAGGTTGTAAGTTGTTTTTATTAATTACAGTATCAGTATTTATTTATATTTTTTATTGCAATTTAACTCAATTAAATTATATTAAAAATTAAAAACACTACTAAAGGGAGTAAGTTATTTTTATTGATTATTAGTATTTAATTCTACTTTTTACTATAATTTAAATCAATTAAATTTTTTATTTAAAAAAATAATCAAAATATTAGGTTGTAAGTTATTTTTATTGATTATCAGATACTTTTTATTGCAATTTGATTCAATTAAATTTTATTTAAAAATCAATAATACTACTAAAGCGAGTAAGTTATGTTTATTAATTATTAGTATATTTTTTATTATATTTTAAATTCTAATTTTTTATAAAAAAAGTAATTAAAATTTTAGATTGTAAGTTACTTTTATTAATTATATTAAATTATTCTTTTATTATAATATAAATTTAACTAATTTTTTATTAAAAAAAATAATTAAAATACTAGCTTGTAAAGCTTGTAAGTTATTTTTAGATTATAAGTATTTAAATATACTTTTATTATATTTTAAACCAATTTTTTATATTATAATTTTAGCTTGTAAGTTATTTTTAATAATTATTAGTATTTTTATCTTAATTAAATTTTTTATTTAAAAAATAATTAAAATTTTAGCTCGTAAGTTCTTTTATTAATTATTAGTATTTAATTATATTTTTTAATACAATTTAATTTAATTGAATTTTATTTAAAAATCAAAAATACTTTTAAAGCAAGTAAGTTATTTTATTGAGTATTAATATTTTTTATATTTTTATTGCAATTTTATTTGACTAAATTTTTATTTAAAAATTAAATATATTAATATTTTAGCTTGTAAGTTATTTTTTTTTAATTATTAGTATTTAATTATAATTTTTATTGTAATTTAACCCAATTAAATTTTATTAAAAATCAAAAAAATACTATTAAAGCGAGTAATTATTTTTATTAATTATTAGTATTTAATTATACTTTTTATTATATTTTAAACTCTAATTTTTTATTTAAAAAATAATTAAAATTTTAGATTGTAAGTTATTTTTATAGATTATTAGTATATAATTATACTTTTATTATAATATATTTTCAATTAAATTTTTAATTAATATATATAATAATTTAGCTTGTAAGTATTTTTATAATTATTAATATTTAATTATATATTTAATTGTAATTTAAATCTAACTAATTTTTTATTTTAAAATAATTATTAAAATTTTAGCTTGTAAGCTTTTATTGATTATTAGTATTAAATTATACTTTTTATTATAATATAAATTCAATTAAGTTTTTATTTAAAAAAATAATTAAAATTTTAGCTTGTAAGTTATTTTAAGTTATTATCAATATTTAATTATACTTTTTATTATATTTTAATTTTATCTTAATTATTTATTTAAAAAAATAATTAATTTTTTAGCTGGTAAGTTAATATTATTAAATATTATTTTTTTAATTAGACTTTTTATTAATTTAAATTTAACTAAATTTTTATTTAAAAAGTTTTAGCTTGTAAGTTTTTTAATTAATTATTAGTAATTAATTATACTTTTTATTATAATTTATACTTAACTAACTTTTTATTTAATAATATATATAATAAATTAGCTCGTAGTTATTTTTATTGATTATCATTATCAGTATTTATTTATACTTTTTATTGTATTTTAAACTCTAATTTTTATTTAAAAAAATAATTAATTTTTAGCTGGTAAATTTATATTATTGATTATTATTATTTAATTATACTTTTTATTATAATTTAAATTTAACTAAATTTTTATTTAAAATCAAAAATGTTCCAAAGGGGGGAGTAAGTTATTTTTATTAATTATTAGTATTTAATTATATTTTTTTTGCAATTAAACAACTAAATTTTTTGTTTAAAAAGTAGTTAATACTTTAATCAGTAAGTTATTATTATTGATTATTAGTGGTTAATTATACTTTTTATTACAATTAAACTTAAATAAATTAAACTTAACTAATTTTTTTATTTATAAAATAATTAAATAATTAATAATATAATATTACAATCAAAGAGAGAGAGAGTGAGAGAGTGAGAGTGAGTGAGAGTAATAGTGAGAGTGAGAGTGAGAGTAAGAGTAAGAGAGTGAGTGTGAAAGTGAGAATGAGTGAGATGAATGAGAGTGAGAAAAAGAGTGAGAGTGAGAGAGTGAGAGAGAAAGAGTGTGAGTGTTTTAAAAATTATAATTTATATAAAAAATAAATAAATACAAATTATTTATAATTAATTATATTTATTAAAAGTAATAGAAAATAATAATATTCAGAATGATTTTCAAAAGAATAATGCTACTAAATGGATAGAAAATGCATTAACAACTGAAAAAGTTAAATTTATACCATTTAATCAATTAATAAATTCTACACAATTAACTATTGGAGGATTTGGATGTATTATGAAAGCAACTTGGATAAAAACAGGAACTTGTATAATTTATAAAAAATTAACTAATATAAATTCTATTAAAGGTAATATATTAGATGCTTTTATTCATGAATTACAAATCCATTTACGTCTTGATTGTAGTGATCGAATTATTCGTTGTTTTGGTATTAGTAAAGGTAAATTTATAATTTATCTATTTTAAAATTAAAATTTTTACATTAAATTTATATTATAAAAATCTATTCTTATAGATAATAATGATTATCTTCTTATAATGCAATATGCTAATGATGGTGACCTTCAAAATTATCTTGAAAAGAATTTTAAAATTTTAACTTGGAATAATAAAAAGAAATTAGCATTTCAAATTGCTGAAGGATTAAATTACTTACATAATGAAAATATTTTACACAGAGATCTTGTAAATATTTAGTTTGATAATTTATTAATTTTAATTAAATTCTTAAATATTTATTGAAATTTTCTATTTAAATTTAGCATTCTAAGAATATAGTAATTCATGATGGTAATGCTAAAATTACAGATTTTGGTCTTTCAAAAAATATGAATTCACAAAATTCTACTATTCATATCGGAACCTTTGGTAGAATTTCATATGTAGATCCAAAAAAACTTTTAGATTTAAAGTTTAAGTATGAAAAAGCTTCAGATATTTACAGTTATGGTGTATTAATGTGAGAAATATCTAGCGGAGTTCCTCTATTTAAGGAATTAATTAGTAAAGGTGATTTAGTATTACTTCGTCTTTTTATTATTGATGGATATCGTGAAAATGTTATAGAAGAGACCCCTGAAAATTATAAGGAGCTTTATGAAAAATGTTGGAATTTTATACCTAAAGTATTAAAAAAGTTTTAGAAGAATTTAAAAAAATGGGATATAGAACAGATGAAGAAGATAATTTAACTTATGTGGATTCTCCTAAAGAAACAGAAATAATTATTAATAACATTTCAAGTGAAGGTACAGTAATGTTGTAAAATCATATATTATTGATTTAAATTTTACTAATTATACTATATTTTTACAATAATTTTTTATATTAGAAATACTAACAGATGATTAAAATCGTTAATTAAATATTGAAGATGATTTAAATAGTAAGTTCTTTAATTTTATATTTAGTATTCAATGAAATATAATTTACTAATTAAAAATTTGAATTTTTATTTATGTCATAATTGATTTTTAAAACATTTAAGTAATTGTTATAAAATAATTTATATAGATTATATTATAACAAATCTTTTATCATTTTATATTACCTTAAGTATTTAAGAGAATTATTTGAATTATTTTGAGAATTGAAAATGAAAAAACAAATTATTTTTAGTTATATGATTTATTATAAGCAAAATTTATTATAAATTATTAAATTAATTACATTTCATAATTAATAAATATCAAGTTTGTAATATTTAAATTTACCAATAAAATTTTGCATTTATATTAATTTATACTGGTTCAATGATAAGGTATCATACAGATGTTATTCACCTAAAAATACCCCGATATATCCTATATTTTAATCAGATAACTTATTAGATGATAGATTTTTTATATTTCTGATATTTCTCTTAATTATGACAGGAATAGTTAATAATAAGCTACATAAAATTCACATATTAAATTATTAAATATTATATTTTTTTCAGAGTTCTGATACCTTAATAACGCATTTATGATTATTAAATAGTTATTAATTAAATATTAAGTATTGATAAAAGAATTTTAGATAAAGCGTCGTGATTCTAGTATTGTAATACTGTGATACCTCAATAATACCTTTATGATTAATAAATTATTGTTTAAGTTTTTTATATAATAATTATTATAAAGCTTATTATATATTTTATATATTATCATAATATTTACATATCGATATATTGTACATATTTATTCTGCATATTATACATACATATATATTTATTTATTATACATTATTTATATTATATATAAATTATTTATGACTCTCAACTGCCACTTTCCTCTTCTTGCTCCTTTCTTCTAACTAAAGATGATATCACCTATTTGGAAACTTCAGATGGTGGTCTTATATTATTTTTAAATATATTATCATCATACCATCATTTTTTTTGAACATTTATATGTTAAATATTTTTACCAATTTTATCTGCATATTAAAGAAGTTTTTTAACTTATAATAAACAAATAATTAAATTGTAACATTTATTTGAACTAATATGTTTATTTTTTTCTGTTTTTAATAAAGAAAAATTCATACGATTTTTCTTCGAAATTAAAATTTCAGTTATTTAAATAAATTATTAATATTTTGCTAATACCTCTTAATAGATTATCACAAAATCGTTAATATATTATATAATTATCAGAATACTGAAAGGTATATAATTTATTGTATATTATTCTCCAGTATGTCTTTAAAATAGTCAGTCTTTTATAGTGTAAAAGCCATGGGTTTATTGGGATTCTGATTATTAATTAATAAAAAAAATACCAGTCAGTTAAGAATCAAAACTGATTTAATCCTGATTTTTAAATAGCTAGTACTATTCCGATTCTTTATTATTCGACTTGTGTATAACTTGAGAGAAAAAGAAAAACTTTACCTTTTTTATTAATACAATAATTATACAGTAAAAAAAAAGGAATTCTTGTAAACTAGTTTTTTTTTACTTTTAACAAAACTAGATTTCCAATCTTCAAGAAGATATTGTGTTTTAAACATAATTTCCAAATTTTGGACACAATATTTTGTAGAAATATGTAAATCAATATTGAAGATTTCATGATCAAGGTGTAAATATTGCTGTAAGAAATAATTTATATAGAAAGAACTTAAAACAGAAGAAAATGATTCTTAAACAGATTTGAAAAAGTGATATCATCTACAAATTGGATATAAAGTTTTTTAAAATAATACTAAAGTTATTTATTAAATTAGCAGTTTGAAAAAAATACTTGTATGGATGGTGTGGTATCATATCCATATCAAGAAGTAAAATTAAGTAATACTTTTTGATTATCTAATATTATTAGCTTTCTTTAATTTAAAATGTTTAGGTAATAGTTACTTTAGCATTGTGCAATAAGCAATATGATTGGTTATTGGTTAAAAATAATTAAAATATGATCATGTGATGTGTAAAAAAATATATATATTTCTTAATAACCTAAACTTACAAAAGCTGAGAAATACCCTTCTTATATGCGTGTTTAACGACTATAATCATTTCTTCCATTTACAATTCCACCTAAACTATGAATGGATTTTTATACATGCCTTAAAAATGTGTTCTTTTTGATTATAATTAAATAAAAAAAATTAAATCTGTAAATTGATCAATGATCTTTATCAATCTACATTTTTGTTATACATATAACTATCTTTTCCAATTGATTTTTTTCTTAATATTTATTTTATTTTTTTTTATCAATAATTAATAAGATTTTACAAGCATATTTAATGTTGATAAGTAGAATTCCCCAAAAATATCATTCCTGATTAACTTAATATATATGCCTCAATATTTTTATTATCTCTCCATGGCTTTAGTAAAAATTCTGTAAAATAAGCCTTTTACGAAAGTTTTCATGAAAATGGAAAAACACAGCTCTACTTTTTTATATGGTTAATATCAATGTGGAACTACAGAAGGCGATCCAAGTTCCATAGAAATTAAAGTTATCCAGAGCGACTTTACGTTGTAGAGTCAACATTTTCATTAATTAAGACGCAGCAATACAAAAGGAAATGATCAACATTACACAGTAAAAATTACAAGGAAAAGTCACATGATAAAAGTCGAAATAATCATTTTATTAAAAGAAGATATAATATACGGATAAATTACGGACCGAAAAGAAAGATTACACGAGACGGATAAATTTCGGAAGGAAATAATTCGGATAAATTAG